ACTACCTGGAGCCATGGACCAGTGAAGCCGCCAAGCCCATGTTGATGATCTACACAGAGTACAAGTCATTCTGATATGTTTTTTTGAAAACCATGTTCTCAACTGATCTTATTCTGAAGAAAATCAAGATTGCCGTTGACTTGTTCGCTCAGCTGGGCAATTAGATTGCAAAGGTTTCATCACCAATCGAGGTGACATCATCAATGCGTTATCGGGGAGCGTAGTTGTGCGTAGCGGTGGGTTTGTGGTGGTGCCTTGGGTATGTGGTAATATACGTGCTGGTAACCGGGGCTGACCTTTGACCACGCGACCAAACAACTAGTTGCGGTCAAAGGTCATCCCCGGCAACGACCATCCACGCTACCTGAGCTACCGACATTTTCCTCTATAGAAGAACAATATATGATAAGAGCGAAACTAGGTCCCGGAACTTCGGGGCGGGTGGGACACAGAGTACCTCCATAAGATCAGGTGATGGAGCGCTTCAGATGAATATGACTGAATCAATCCATTAAAAGATTTAGGGACGTTTTTCCATACATCTTGAAAGGGATCTTCGATCAACACAAGTGAGGCGGTAGCCTGATAGTCGTTCCTGTCTTATGGTGTCCGTAGTCGTTAACACGTATATGCTGTGTGCGAAAAAGTCAGTGTAGTTGTACACGGCTCTCGGGTTGTTCTTCCGTAGGTTGTATAGTCGTATCTTTAATACCACTCTGAAACCGAAAGAGTGCTGTATGTAGACATCATTTTCAAGATTACATCACGTAATACGGAAACTTTAAACTTAAGACCCATGGGAACTCATTAGGAGGCGACATTTTTCGGGGATGAAACGTTTCATCATGAGAACGACTGGCTTCAACAAATGACTTCGAAAATGTTACTTAATTAAAAACTGATTCATGCCAGTGGATCACTTGAGCTCATTAGATGGTACACTTTTAAGGCAAGGACGTAATCGGGTTTGTTCAAGCTACAAGGCCTGATTGGTTATCTGATTGCTATCCGATACACATGAACCAATGACTTTCCCAATCGATTTCTTTCCAATGTGCGGAAGGTTTGGCACTTGCATTTGAAAAGATCACAACTGATTCTCCAAACTCAAATTGAGAAATGTTACTCTGTGCTTTGAGATGTCACCCGCTCAGACAGTTTATCTTAGTAACAAACAATGCTCTAAACTTCCTGCTACTGTTTACCCTTTTTTACATAATTTTGGCAGCATTTTGAACTACCCAGCTGCGTGGTGCACACGCATTTCATATGCTAATCAAATGGGTGGAGTCCAATATTTAGGGACATCATTCCTCAGGAAAAAAAGAATTGCCAACATTCAAATCAAGACGTTTCTTCCTACGTGAAATAGTTGGTCGTTTTTCTGGATTGGATAGGGTTTTTACAAGAAATGAAGCAATCCCAGCAGGGGATTTTTAACACTTCGTTTTTACTAGAATGTACTCTGTGTTGAAAAAAAGATCTCCGCAGGAGTTCACTGTTTACGTCTAGCAGGTACTTTGACTGACTGACTGACCGACCGATCCTTTAATGCATTTTGTCCATCAAACACCACTCAGAGATGAACACACACACACTTGAACACACGCGAACACAGAGGACAGGGGAGCCAAATAAAATATTGCACTTTACCATAGAGAAGGATGGATGCCAAACGAACCGGTTAGTTCAAAAGAACAGTAGTTTCTTCTCTCAGCTGATCAGAACGGTTTTATCTCCGAACAGGATCAGAATCAAACAGCCTGATGTCCGGTCGAGAATTGGTTATGCCGGTACAGTTCTGGTTCCGGGACAGCTTTAACATACCTGGTTGGGGTTTGCGAATAGAAACGTGCAGACTGTACAACAAGCAAATGTGCTGCGGCTTGTTACCAACAGTGTGTGATGGGCTACGTGTATTTAATTGGGTCGTTAATACTGGTGCATAAATAATCTACCATATTGGCAAGTCTCAAGAATGAGATGCTGTAAACTCGTGCTTCTTTCTTTCTCTCCTATTGTGCGGAAATAACGGTAAGAATAGTAGTATAATCGGTCAGTGGTACGATGTTGACTGATCTGTTCACATCTACATTTAGAAGAAACATTGTCGATGAAACTCGAGGTGAGGAACGGGTTCCACGATACTTTGCTGAGATGTGAATAAAAGACCCTATGGCAATCTTCAGTAATGTTTAACGACACCTACACAGCCTTAGGTCTGATGTGCAAGCTGGGAGAATGGGACGAATAGACTTTTTGATACGCTTGTCAAAAAACAAGTTGATGGAATTATACAGTGGCGCGTTCACCACAAGCCTGCTTGAGTATGACAGTATAAATTTTTGGCAGGTGATGTTCCCTGTTGACTTTCATGTCAGATTCATTTCCAGGAAAAGTTGATTATTTCGCAAACTTACTAACTGGTTTGTGTAATGGGGCATGAAGTCACACACACTTAAATGCACTACGCATGTGACGCGAAAATGTTTTATCTGCGGATGCAGTTTAAGAGCGAAAATCTACGTAAGTTTCCAAGGAGGAAGTAAAAATGCGTTAGCGTGTGCGTACTCTGTGGCTACACCTAACTTACAAGGATTGATAAATGTCATGGCGAATTCTGAAGGAGACGTTGTTGTCTGGTCTTTTCACAGGTATGTTCAAATTTAGATCCTCGGGTGCATCTGCCAAGTTGGCTTTGAATATGGGCCAGAGCAAATTGTTCCTCGCTTCATTATTATAATTGTTACCTGATTATCGAAAACTTGGTCCTAAATCATCTGTTAGACGCCAGACTTCGGGTGAATAACAACCATACTGCACTCCATCTTGTCACCATTTGATTTCCGAGTACATCTGGATTCAGACTAGACTGCATGGCATAGGCATCTGTTAAACAAAGTCACAGAGACTTCTTGCACACGCTTGACAGTCACCGGTCTTGAGTTCCGACAAAATAAACGGACAAACTTCAGCTGATCAGGTGCCCTTGGGCCCGACCTTCGCTGGGCTGCAACACATTTCCAGTGTCTTTATATTTGACACGGTTTTACTTCAAAAAGTAGACTTTGCCTTCCAAGATGAGAACTAGCTTTCAACGACCATTTGAAGACACATCACAATGATTTCTTCGGTCGATCCACTGTTTTTAGTCCAACTGCAATCATTTTTCATGTAAACTGAGTTCCATGTGAGCTATCAATTTGCCAAATTTGCCAAACACGTTATACTGTTTGAGCAGTTACATTTGAGGACATGTTTGGTTGAAACCTTCCCAGAAGGTGCTCAACTTAGCACGCCATACTTTCTGGCTATTTGAAAGGAAGATAGTAGAGAAGTGCCTATGGGATAGGGCATCTAAGCAGAGTGTTTTGGTATTTGTACTAGTGGAACTCTACCGTAATCAGTGCTTCCACATTTTCCAACTTACAAAAGACCTATCAATATAATGCGAAGTAATTCAGCCACAGAAGGGAGACAAACGTGGTTACATTTCGCAATAATCCTCCTGGGTTTGATGCCCAGTAAAATAATCAGCTTCATAAGAGTCTGGGGCGAACATTCCTCGTCATATTTTTGGGTGATTTTGGACCCTTGAAGAGGCCATCCCTCATTCTAGAATATCCAAGATTTCATTTTTCTTTGGAACGGTATTTCAAGAGAGTTTTGATCGACTTATGCTTATAAGGCGCACTTTCACAGTTCCAGCTTTTTTAAGTGGGCAACACCAGGTTTGACTACTTAAACGAGTTTGAATTTCAAACCTTGCCATGAGTTTTTAGGCGCCACAGAGTAAAAAAAAATGAAGTCCAGTCTGAATGTCTATGACCTAAATTGTCGGTTTCGAACAACCATTCAAATGCCATTTATTGAGCATTGTCCCATGAGTCAGTAATATTCAGGTACTATTTATTAGATTTTACGATATTCCATCATGTTACTGAGGACACTCTATGTTGAAAAGCGGAAAAGCTTTGGGCAGTTTTTTCATCCTTAGTAGGGATCCTCAGCAGTGCACACCCCACGAACCTCGGAGTCTAAGGATTGCGACCAGTGGTTGATTACTTGATCATTCTGCCTTCACCAACTGAACAGCACTGTGGTGGAAGGATGAGCGGTGGTAAGTTACATCTAAGTGAATGCTAATCACACTGCTGTCCAGCCATTCTATGACAAACTATATATATATATATAAAACTGACAGGCCGCACTGACTGACAACAACTGACAAGACGTCTTTAGGGTACAAAGCGGGATACTGTCCTATAGTTGGGATACGGTGATACTACTGATGGGGAGGCATTCGAGTAATATGTTTTATTTTTGTAAATTCGCTTTGCTTCCCTTGAAAAGGGACATCTGTTGCGGAATTTGTGGAGTCGCTTTGTAGTATTTGCTTTGAATATCCATGAAAGTTCAAGATGGATGTCCAGTTTTTGTAAATACGATGCAAATGAGAGTTTTGCTTCCCTGTCCAAAAGCCTGTTAATGGTCACTTGGCACTTCCTAATAAATAACTCCACAGCAAAGGCCTTCTTCCTTTCACTGGAACTAGAGCTTAGGCACTGTTGAAACTGCTCAGAAAAGTGGATAACAACCTGTCGTGTTCGGTCTAGCTTGGGATGTCTAATGTGACCTTAATTCTTCAACATTTTCACTAACCACTACTGAAGTACAGTCACAAACATGCATCCATATGTGAACTGCAGGTGGTAAAACAACAGCAAATTAGACACGGTTTTGCTGCCCAGCGTAAAACAAAGTACACAAGCTAGTTCCAGTTTACTCACATTACTTTATCACAAGTGGATGTTTTCTTATGTAATGACTGTTTCCGTCGTCGGTATCGAGCGGCTAATTGGGCCAATTCGTATGCATGCCTCATATTGTATGCATGACTCATATCTTGGGAAACTGTGAGCGAAGTCAGTCCATGCATGTAGCAATTATAGCGCCAGTTTCAGTGACCTCGATCCAAAAAATATGGGGAGTTGAATAACTTATCCCATTTTAGCGAAGAACCACTTGGTGTTGAGATCTAACACATCAGTGAAAGCTCCCCAAACCTGTTTTGATTCTCGTTTCAGAAGTCGTCCTCCTTTTCTGGCGTAATTATTCTAGTGCATCGATACCAAAGGGAAGCACTAAAGTCGAGTTTTGCTCTTGTTAGAGCTCACCAGCACTGTTATCCAATGGCCATGCCGGGATTTGAACCTCGGAATCTGCGTCGGTGGAGTAGTGGTTACACGCTCGCCTCGTATGTCAGATGTCTCGGATTCAAATCCCGGCATGACCATTGGATATGCACTGCTGATGAGCTCTAATCAGAGCGAAACTCGAGTCCAGTGCTTCCCTTTGGTGTCGACTCATCGGAATAATTACACCAGACCGTTCAAACGAGAGTGGTGTGACTATGAACAAAATACCTATCCCACAAAGTCCCAAAAATGCATTTATTAAGATTCCTCTGCGGCTGACCATTCCTCACATGTAGGCGGAACATGATAATGAGGCTGAAAGATGTTCCAGCCAAATTGTCTACCCGTTCGAAAGCAGAAGTCATCTGATGTGGTAGCATCTGTGGTGAAAAAAACAGTCAACTCTGTTTTGGTCTAACACTATTTTTCGCGGATTTTCAGCGTTGACTGAAAAGTCAAACCAATCAATCAGCTCACAATAGCATCCTGAACCTTATTTTGTTTGTTATTTTTTGTTATTTTGTTATTTTGAGTGCTTGTCCACTTAGCTTAGTCCATCCATCTTCGTTCCCTCATTCAGTCGGCCCAATTAGTCCGCAGAAATGGAATTCACATTTTTTGTTTTTTTTCAAATTGACTGAGTTCAACTAGGACCATACGATACAATTTCAACAGCCACTAAAGTCGGATGTGAATAACCGGAGGAACTCTGTTTGAAAACCAACACATTCATCCTCAGATGCGTGAGATAAAAATCCGGATATTAAAAAAGATAAGTACCTGAGTCTTGGTAACTTTGACAAATCCTAGGTTACTTATATGTTAAACTGCGGTTTTCTTATCACTGGGTGCGGCAAGCTAATCGAAGTGTGATTCGATGTAGTCTGAGAGGACCAAGCTATCCTCATGCGCAAGCAAACACACGTAACATCGCTGTCACAACCTAGTGTAATGGTTACAGTGACTAATTTCTCACGGTGATATGCAAACAGGTCCTGTTCCATGGCGACTGATAGATTAATTTGATTGCATAAGTTGAATGAGCAGAAATGACCGACTGAATGAGGTTGAACAGGATTAACTGGTTCAAATTTCGACCAAATCTATCCCAAAGGACTTCGCTTTAAATGAACAACAGCCAAATGTCATAGACCTATTAGATTTTAGAAAATGATAGATGAATACCCCTAAGCACAAAGGCCTTGTAAATGAATGCTGATGAGTTGAAAGGTAACATTTTATTATTTTATTTTATTATTATTATTTCCTTATACTATTTTTGTTAATATTTAGTACTTTATTTTATCGCTCAGCAAGTTAAACTTCCTGTCACGATATTGCCAATCAGTGGGTATCATTTGATGGCTGGGATTAACACAAGGTGGAAGCTCATGCAACTGAGACATCAACTGAGAAATCTAACCAACTTTGCAACTTTAGAAGCACGGATAATTGCTTCGTTCGCAGCGGAGGCAGTCGCCCTGGTGTTACGCATGTTTCGGTGATAAGAAGCATACAATACAAACCACTTGGTTCAGTTCAAATGTTCTTTTCCCGAACGTGGTACATACAAGAGATTCGCTTGACATTGAGGGTAAAAATTTAGAAAGTAATAAATGGATGTGCACTTATACCGATCGAAAGGCATTAGCTCAGTGTGGCTTAATGGAATTTGAGCATTGACTACGAGTCAGGATTTACATCAGGCGACCAAGCAACGAAGTAGAGACAAAGAAGCCATGTTCTAATGCTCCACCTGCTGTATTGCTATGCCTGGTCGGTTTTCACAAAATCAATAACGACACATGTACGTCCATATCGATAGGAAGCGTGTAAACTTGCTGGAAAAATCGGGGATACTCAGTACACTTTCTTAGGCCAAGTCGAATTTTTCAAATGGTGTGATTGGCGAGATTGGAAGTGAAAGTGTGCATTGGACTGGAATGTTCTCATTAAAGTGGCACCGTTAACTCTAGATGCATACATTACCGTCTGAAGGAAAGCCCATATTTTTAGAACAACGAGTGGAAAGACGGATGTAACTGGTTCAGGAAACGAATGAGGTGTTTCTGATGTGATGTTGGATGTAGCCCAAATAGCATGCGACACAGCGCGAAAATCGCCACAATAAGGGAGCTTTGCGTGCTGCAGAAACGACAAGTGTTAAATCAAACTGTAGTGCAGTCATACAGATAGTATACCGCATATTTTTATTCCGAAGGTATATTCCTGCCGCACATTTTTCATTATCGCTGGATTAGAACTGTGGATGATAGAAAGCATGAACTGTCTTATCGTTAAATTCATCAGAGGACAAATAAATCATGCTTCTCGGATGTGAAGATGGTCGCGTTTTTAGAAGGGCCTATTCATGTGGGTGTAACGTAATGGCAGAATGGATGAGGTTGATTCTCAATCCAGTCGTCTGGAGATCTGAGCACACGCAAACAATATTACAGAAACTTAGGCGGCAGCGGATGTGTTTCTTTATCTGATCAAACTGGAACAGGAAGAGGACTGCACAAATAATTTCGCCACTGCTCACAACAGATTATTTTTGATAATCAATTCTGGTTATTGGCTTACCAAGAATTACAAGGTTTTTCTATTTAACTGTCTAACTTTGTTAACGCGCTTGGTACAAAAATGTTTTGTGCATTGATAAACCACAGAAAAACGTACCTTTTAGTTGGCAAATAAGGGTGATGAAACTACTTTGCAAAGCATTTGCTTAGCTCAAATTCTGCTAGGAATATGGAAGCAGTTGGAGAGCTTCTGAAGCATCTACTTTCATGATCCGAACAACTGGTATTGAAACCGTGAATTCCACTTGGGGGTTTAACTACTCAATTTTATTGGTGGATACCCAGTTTATCTCATGCAGATGATATGTAGGATTCGTGACCGTCAGCAAGTACATTGTTAATAAAATTAAACAATTATTCAACAGAAAAGAACAACCAATAGAAAAGAGAATTATTGAAGCTGTAAAGAATCTTCAGCTGGTGGGTACGATGGCATACACCACTGACGTTGCAAAACAGTGGTCCAACTATTTTCGATCGATTATGTTTGGAAAATCCAGTGCATAATTAACAACCCGCAGCAAGCTGGATATAAAGGTCTGATACCTCAAGTAAGCTTCTATTCAATATTAGATGAAACGGTTCAGACCTTATGTTACCCAGAATAAAGGAGGTCAAACTCAACACTCCTCTAGGCAACCAAGAGGAAAACATTCCTCAGATGGCTCGAACATTCCACTTGAGGATTCGCCCCACAAGTAACCAAGAAACACCAGATGATGTGACATGAACAGATTGAGTAAAAGCGGGTGACTCTGAATCCTGTCAACACACTGCCACTTGTAAAGGTATTCAAATAAAAGCTACAAGTTTCACTCCCGAGATTTGTTGAATGTGCACTGCTCATTGTCTCACGGAATGACGAAAAGATTAACGGTCTTGCTGACTCGCTGGTGATCTTACAGACCGGATTTTACTCGCTGGAGTAGACAACAGATCTACTCAGTATGCCCAAAGCAAATAACTCAGAGTTAGATGGGGTGACGATTTGAGCATCTCGCTCAAGTGGGACTGCCATTCACACTGAAGGAATGGCTGACAGACTGTTACACGTGAATAGTGTGAACTGAATAGCAATCGGATGCGCGCCAGGCACTTCTGTCTTCGGGGAAAACGGACAGAGGTTGCACATTTGTCATACGGTCGTGTCCAATTTGACCGTTCTTCCAACTTGGTATGACGAACGTCTTACTTGTGTGTGCATTATTCTCTTAAGAACAACGCGCCTAGGAAGCTCATTTTACTCAGTGTTTCGAAGACCATCGATTAGTGCTGGTACTTACTGATTCATTGCTGTACTTATCCGCCGAGTGGCCACACACCATACAGTTGTATCGATCCACTTTTCTCCTTCCCAAGCGCTACAGTTTTATAAAATTCATTTACACAAATATATCAAAATTTCCACTCACTTGAATACAATCCTTAGTTGACGTCAAGCGGCAAACCGTGAAGAGTAATGCAATAACATTTCGTCTATTCGTGAACAGCTTTTAAACAAAAAAAAAGACCACGATAATTAACCACCGATAATTGAGCGGGACTACTTGTTAGTACTTTAAAGCTTTCTTAGTGGTATTGAAAAAATGTGTAGCAGCCTAGGAACTCGACGGACAGAGGAGAGAGCTGAGGCAATTCGGTGATGAAATTTTCCCGTGCCATATATTTACATTCGTTGGTTCCTGTTCTTTCGTACCACCGTTTTTAAAAAACTATTTCCCTCGTATGAGCTATACTTTCCTGCAAAAATCGACTGAACACTTAATCAACTCTATTTCTGCACACGTGTATGCATACCATTCGAGATCTCGCACATTTATACTAACCTGAGACAGACTGATCCAAACGCTGACGAACAAGAATATTGAGTACGAACACTTAATAACTCTATTTCTGCACACGTGTATGCATACCATTCGAGATCTCGCACATTTATACTAACCTGAGACAGACTGATCCAAACGCTGACGAACAAGAATATTGAGTACGTCTCGCCTCAAGACCATAATATAGATACTCATTAGCACAATTAGGCTTTATCCTTCTTAAACCAAACTTGCATCGAAGTTCTGACCTTCCTCGACAACGTGAATCAGTATTTAACGAATCGTGCAGTTCGTAACCCGCGAGGCTGGAAAACAAATACTTACGTAGCAATATATCGAGATATGGGTACCTTGTGTGCGTCATTTGGTTGTAGAACAGGTAACTAATGATCTTTTTGCCGAATTAGGCAGTTTGCATGTGGACAACCATAGAGACATACGAAGTACAAGCCGGCATGCACTAGTTTGACCCCTGTATTTCATCTTTTCTACCGGTCACTTCAAAGAGACACGTTTAATTAGAGGAGTCCCTACCTTGTAAGTCATTACTAATAATAACCTGGTACAACCAATAAGTCACCTATCGATAGAACATAGTTGTTTCGGATAAGATTATTGAAACAAATGGCACTTTTCAAGCGGCATTTAGGATGCCGCTTCCAAATTAAAAATGGATCAACGGTGCACATGTATTGTGTGGTAACTTTAAGAATGTCTCTCGGTACGCACATCTAGCAACAGTGATTTGGGGATACATGGGAAAGAATACTGATCCCACAATGTAGTACCCGTTTTTCTGAGAAATATCTCCGCTTCACCACAGGCGTGGCTGTGGGCGAATTCAGTTAGTCGACGAAGTAAGTCAGAGTTGCATTTGATCTGATACGCTTTTGGACAGTGGGATAACACGGAAAATGCATTTTGAAAGTGAATAAATTCTTCGCTCTCTGTGAGGGAACTTCGAATGGACCAAAACACGGTAATGTTGAATATCGTCCGGAAGGGTAGAAAGTCTTGAATGGCTGTGCTTTGAACCAGGTTGTAGACAAAAAGCGTTGCGAGGATGAACTAGTATGATTGTATTAGTATGCGCAAATATTTCTTGAACTGAATAGTAAAAATTCAACTCCGTGACGGTAGAATTATCATAGAGTGGTCATCCCTTTTGTGCTATCGAAATGACCCATGTATGTTTTTGTGGAATTAATCGCCGTACTGCTACAAACCGCAAAGTGCAACCACGTTGAAAGAAGCACTGGAAGAGATATAAACCTAACCAAGCGAACCATACTAAACAAGCAGAGAGCAGGATACGTATGATGCATTCTGGAAGAGAATAAACCTAACCAAGCGAACCATACTAAACAAGCAGAGAGCAGGATACGTATGATGCATTTTCCACAAGCGCCAACTGGTCTCTACAAGAGCCCAAATCACTGTGTACCGAAAAGAGTCCCACTATTCGTCATATCAAATTTTTCACGTAAATCTCAAAATTATTAGAACCCGGAGCACATGTGCTTCCCGAATTTACAGGAGGGAGCATTTTCTCGGCTAATCCGTTTCATATCGTACGTAACACATGACGCCTACACAGAAAATATCGACAACTTATGACCATATGGCACTCGCCCTCAAGACGCACTGTGCAATCTGCTCCGGCAGCTTCAGTGTCTCCCATCATCTCAACTTGGGCGACTTGAATGGTCAGGTGTCTGCCACGCTTTTCAAATGTTCCAATCACTGTGAAAGATTTAATACATTCGAATGCTGAAATTCCCCCGATTCGAGGGCGGCAACTGCATGTCGCCAAATAGAAATTAGTTCCCGTTTTATCGAAAAAGATTCGACTAACCATATTCACCAAAGGGTAAACCGGAGAACCAAGACGTTGTTCAGAGATTTCTGAATTTTTTTGGATTAACGACATTCACTGGGAACCATGGTAACCGATATCACTTACACGGATGCCAACCAACGTATTTTTATCTTGATCATATAGTCAAAAAGTATGCCAGGCTTACCAAGGATAGGTCTGCACGACTATCCAGGCAATGTATTCTTTGTTTTGATACGGAAACACGTGTTTTCTATTCGATCAAAAGCATCATTTCCAATCTTAAAGGAGAGATTGGGCTTTGTTTTGGTGCCTTAAAAACACTATCAACGTACTTTTGGCGATCTCTGGCTTAAACTGTGCTGACTAATCTGCCAGTGAATATATTGGATATGGAAGTTTTGTGAACGTTTGAAAATTCGTCTTGGGAAATCAGTGAATTGCAATAATGACGCCAAAACCAGACAAATGCTGTTATTACTTCTGGGTGCCTTTGAATGTGAAACCGATTTTGCAGGTATTACCGTGTTTTTGATGATTAGTTAAGCTAAGTGGTAAGTAAGTAAGTAAGTAAGTAAGTAAAGTAAGTAAGTAAGTAAGTAAGTAAAGTAAGTAAGTAAGTAAGTAAGTAAAGTAAGTAAGTAAGTAAGTAAGTAAAGTAAGTAAGTAAGTAAGTAAGTAAAGTAAGTAAGTAAGTAAGTAAGTAAAGTAAGTAAGTAAGTAAGTAAGTAAAGTAAGTAAGTGGTAGTAAGTAAGTAAGTGTGGGTGAGAAATGATTTCACCGAAAAGAAACTACTCACAACTCTCTGACAGCTCATAACTGGTTTCGCACTATTTCGGACTCGTTGAGTAGGAGGAATTCTCGGGTATTCGTTAACCCAATGTTATGCCAGAATCCAAATTTCACGAAATAATCGCAACATGCTCGTTTGCAAACTACACCAGTTTTTACGTGAGACCTAACTGCATCCTTACTGAATGCCTAGCACATGCTGACTACATATCAAGTATTTAGTGCGGTAAACGATTAACGCTTCAGCCTACATTGGTGGAACGGGTAAACAATTATAACTGTTGACAGCTTTGACAGCCGACAGTGTTCGTTTTTCAAAGAACCCCACACTTGTTTTGAGGTAGCATACATGTATCCTCAGTTATTGCGAAAAAAAGCCAAATACATTGATTCCAAGTGGGCATCATTTATTGCCGACATTTCATTTGGATTACTGTGCAAGTCTCCTCAAACCTAACTTCCACTTTGCTAAATTAAATGGTGTCATAAATTCACGTTCATTTTAACCCCAAAATAAGGACTCTACAAAAATAAATCTGAACAGTTTGTGATAACAGTCTTATGTTAACTTTAGCCCATACAGTGTATTTTCCCATTAGCTGCTCGATGCTGTGCTGTGGAGGTTGAAAACAAAGCCGGGAATCGGGTAGGCCAAGCCCAAACAAAGAAGAGTTTGCCACGGTCAAACAGCTCATGAGGCAAAGCACGCGGTTCCGTGCAAGTTTCATACTATGAGCCTTTGACGATTCCCGCGCATCAGAATGCCACAAGTGAACATCACTGCGCGAAAGCCCATTACCTACGTAGAAAATCCGTCATTAGCAAACTTCTAAGGCACGGTTTTATGCATTAGATGCGCCATTGAACCCAGAATAATTGGCTATAGCAGTAACCGAATTTTTACTGTTGACGTTCGGCCTCAAATTTGACGTCGTTTCAACCTGAACACGATCCGACAAGCAAGTAGACTGTGCCATCTGGCTTACTGAATGACCTCCATCGTTTAATTTTGAAAGGGGCAAGTGACCAGCTTCTTTTACATGAGCAAATTTTACGTGACACTTTGAAAAAATGAACCATTTTGGCGATTCACTTTTCCCACACTACGAAGAAGGTATCCTTTTATTTCAGGAAACTAGCTCCAAAGATATACATCCAAAGAGTTTGACTGGTTTCAATTTTTGCACTGCAAGTGATCAATGCTAACATAACCTTCCTGTGGTCGCGTCGAAACGCTTCATCCTAGCTCGTATTAGACCTCATCAGCAGTGCATATGCTTAGCCATGTTACCACTAATCCACCAGCACATGCTGGTTGCGTTTGAATTCGTACGTATGAACTGGTGAACATCTTCGCACTTGATTGATGTCGGCGGAAAGCCCAAAGCCTCGCAAGAAGACTCAGTAACATACCTTGGTTTTGTTGATCAGTCAGAACTTCCCATTCAGGTAGCACCGCAGAAGCTTGAAACCAGCCGGACACTTTTTGTTCCATTTTTTAGTGGTTGATGAATTTTGTAGAATGTGTACTCAAGCGCGTATATGTCCGCATGTTCAGTGGTGAAAATTAAGATGCTTCTAGCGTGCGATGATGAAATAGGAGTAACAGGCCCGCCTCGAATGTCAGATGTGAGGAGTTCAAACCCCGGCACGACCAATAATATGCTGATGAGTGCGTAATTCGGGTTCAGTGCTTCCCCCTTTGGTATGGACTCACCAGAATGATTGCGCCAGGACAGGATGATGACTGTTCAAACTGGAGCCATATGGGTGTGCATTCTACAAAATCCCGCGACCACAAAAAATGATCACTTGATCATTTACGCACTCCTTACTTTCTTAATTCAGGAACACGTGGCGCGCGAAGTGTGAAGCTTTGCCCCATCTGCCTAGCCAGGAGTTCTCCTGGACCTGTAGTCATCCAGTGGTAGATGCAGCCCGTTATTCCATTGCTCGTGTTTGTTTCAATGGAAAATACATCAACCTTCCTAGATGTCCTTTTCAGACGACCATTTCCTCTTGTCGAACGCACGCGGTCTTTCCGACAGCGATAGAGAACGATGGTTGGGATAGCCAATTAAATGAACCCTCTTTAGAATTTGTCATTTTCCATGGAAAGAACTTAAAGCAAAAATCTGTGGAAACAACATTAAAATGAAGAGTGGCCGTCAATACTTCTAACATGTGACACCCTCTCAGCTCTTTACTTGCGATCTCTGTAAAACGCGATCCATGTTGAGCTTTCCCAGTGTAAACTTGCTTATCCGGGGATAGTTTTCAAGTTTACTGTGCTCTTACCACTTAAGATGCCCTTCCGTGCATGCGTCCGACGTATTAGGAACTAGAATATTGAATAGCATACGTGTGAGAAAAAATATTTGCCGAAACTCAAGTGTTACCTTGAGTCATGCTCAAGATATCAGTGGTATCCCTAGCTAACAACCAAGTATACTTGAGGATACACAACCTGCGGTTACTCGGAAAATAGAATGTTCCTTGGGAAGAGATTACTGGTCATTACCTTGTCGTTGCTAAGAAAATTGTGGAAAAGTATTCTACAATTATCATAACATCATCATCATCGGCACCATGATATTAGTTTTGATACTTCATTGCCGTAACAAGATTGATCAAAGCTGTCTATGTGAAAAGATGCTCATTTTATAATAGATGTGCTAGAGCATTTCTACAGTGATTCGAGAAGAAAACCAAAAAAATAATAAATCCTGAGTGTGGGATAAAACCTCTAGATTTGGGATCCTCGTTCTCTTGATGTTAGCTCGGATGACTTTTTGATCCATTACTTTACTCCTGAAAACACAACGCCATTGATGGTCGAAAAGCTGAAAAGTTTTCAATAGTTTTTTTTCCACCTGGCGACTCACCAATTACGCGATTATTTTGTGTCGTAGTTTCCTTCTTGGAATAACATCGAAATGTTGTAACTCAGGTTTTTATCCTTTTCAACCGCATCCCGATTTGTACGCGTCTTATTTCAGAAAAATATTTGAGGTGTTTCCAACTTTTTTCTGAACAAACCAGTGGGCAAATATTTATTTAGAACCAACGATATGATTCAGCCAGTTGCTTCCAAACAGGTGTTGCACGTGTTCTGAAACATAGTTAACGGTTTTCTCAAATTTAAAACAGGGCCTTAACTGTTCTTCGATCATGCTTGCTTGTTGACATACATGTGTACATGAGCGATACAACGGAAGCAGCACCGTACCAGAACCAACATCAGAAACCCTGATGTCAGCAGTAGCTTGAACTGGAAGGGTGGAGATACATTATTCCCTGGTGCCTTCAGGCGAACGCAACATGACGACGGATGTCAAACATGTGCGATTGCATGCTGACAAATTACGTCACTTTGCTTTTGTATGCATTGATAAAACAAACCTGCTTCTCGGTTTGCAAACACATTAATTTTTATCACAGCCCACGCCTGCAAGAGGTGTGCCATTTGGAAATATTCGCAGAAGTTTCTTTGAATCTGTCGTTCGACGGTTCAGCTGTTAGTGGAGCTTTGCTAATTGACGGGGAGTGCTAAGATGGTTGCCATCAGAATGATGCTTTAATTAGCCCCCGTAATGGGATTCTCATGTTAAATATGGCACTGTTCCGGACGACTTAAAGCGGCGGTGGAGAAACAATAAGCAAGTTGAAATCTTTTGGGGTGCTACATTGAAACGAATGTCTAGCCCGGACGGTGCTTCCGAATCAAACAGTAATTCCTAACAACTTTTGGAATAGTGATATCCTATTCGGAATAAACTTCTGCGGTCGCGGGTCGCAAAATTATTGACGGGGGGATAACTGATTAGCATAGTCTTCAAACGACCTTCGCATATCAACACTTGGGTGAGCTCACGAATGCCCACGATAAAAATCACAAGATTAACAATGTTACTTTCTCCAGTTTCTGGAGGAAGCCGTTTTGTCCATGATACAAAGATGATAACGCATATGGAAGATATACATGGGGAAGCTGGAAAATCTGAAATAGAAACAAGGAGAGCTTAGCGAAAAGTAGGATGGTGAATGCCCGAGATCAAACTATGAGAGCAATGGCCTTAGAAACCCTACAACAAGAAATTTAACCAAGTGCGACAACATTTTCTAAGAGAACTTCCTTGAATATAATTGCACTCTGGTGCTACTGAAGAGAGAGGACCGACCATACTTACGTGCGAATGGAGCAAAATCCATTGGATTTTTTTAAAGACAGAGTTTAGCAGACAAGGTCATTTCATGAGTTTGGTCGTTTGACTAATGTATCATATTTATATGACAATCGGGACATGTGGACTAATGAACTCTGTGTAAAGGAAGACCCAAGTCAGAATTTCAGTGTCTATAAAGAGTCACATCTCGTTCAGAACTGGAATGGGGACTGCAGCTCCTGTTGTATGCAGTGTTTAGGATGGCTTCGCTTCTTCAAGGGGACACTTTGTAAGATTTTTCTGAGTTTTGATAGGTCAAGATTTTATGAGTATCAGTGCTGACTAATCAAGATATATTGGCAACAAATTCACCAGTAAATGAATAATTTCTCCGAAATATTTTCCTAAGAGCATCCTGAAAACCGAGGCAAGCATCTGTGTCATGCTCCGTGGGGAACTGAGTTGGATTACAAACTATCGGTACACCACTATTCATGTCGCTATCTACATTTCATACGAGAGATACCCAGTGAATGTTAGCTAAATCCCTTTGATGAATCGAATGGTAGCGGCGGCCATAAGTGTCATTCTAGTAGATTAGTACGGATGAAAGATGTGTTGGCTTAAGGTATTTTAAGGTTACTTTGATAAAAATTGAGATATTGATATTTCGCTTCTGCTTCTGTTGGACGCTGTTTACGAGGTCTGGCTGTGTGCTTGTTTAACGGTACTAAAAGTAGATTGTGGACGAAAAAGATGAGTTGATGCTTTGACCGAATCGAGCCAAGCACTTAATTTTTCCCGCCATGATGACCTCATCGTGGCCACTTGACTGTACACTGCCGGCATAATTCGACATTTCCAATTCTAAGCTATTCATCCTAGAAAGATTGGATTTTTGGATGCCATTAGCCATCAGGCACTACGGCCTGAGTGGTAGTTCTTACCTTCAAACTTTGAAATTTCCAAATCTATTTTGTATTCTACATATAGTGAGTTTCATGCAACCGCCTCCTTTTATTCGCCTACGACATCCAACTACTTTATATGATCTATTTATTCTTTCGTGTCCAACAATTCTGACGTGAAGTTTCATGTAGTTTTTCTCACGCAGCACTTGGTGAGATCTGGGACATTCCTTGGCAATAATCTTTGGCAGTAATCCTTCATGGATCACAGTGCTTCTGTCAGCCTTTTTTGAGGACCTTCGACCGATTTGAGATATCCCTGTTTTGTATGAAATAACAGTCACTCACATGTGAATCTTATTCACTTATCCAATTTTCTCTTGTGTCGAAAGCCAAAAACCGAGCGGAAATCAGCACAGCGTTCACCAAACCGTCCCAAATCGAGGACAGTTGTGCGGTTTCAAAATGCTGCAGGACTGAAAAGCATTCACTTTGTTCGAATGTTTAGTCTTAGGTTTACTCTGTTCTAGTAAATATGATTTCTACAGGTTCCTGCAACATGGGAACATCAAATCAAAGAAGTACTGCCGCTTTTGAGGAAGATTAGTGAAAACGTGACTGGTAAAGCCAGCCACGCTAGACAACAGTGCAGAATACTCCGTAATCAGAAATGGACCAGATTTTCTATTTCTAATAAATGGATGAATCTAGGCAAATCGTATGTGCTTGATCACATCTCTTGGTTGCTGAAATTGCGTAGTTATTCTCTGAATTCAGAGGCTTTGAAAAACCCTCAACGAATGAAGAAATCCGGAAAGCTCGACCAAATTTCTTTATTCTCTCTTGCAAATCTGCCATAATTTCAAGGTTAGGGCTTGAATTTGTACCTCAACTTTCTATGTTAAATCCAAGACAGGAAAAAGAGCTATCGATTAAAAACCGCTCTGGATTACAATGTAATTTGATGAAGGAGTTTGACCAAGAAAAATTAATGCTTATACATACAATAGGAGGCACTAGTAAACATCTTATGTCATCCCCCCTCCAAAACAACCAGAAACTCATTCAAAAAACGGATTTCTTCTACCCTCTAATCGGTAATCCATTCACCATAGGTTGGATTACGTGTTGAGCAATGTGTGTTGAGCGATGTGTTGAGCGATCCGCACGCGATGGGTGATGTGAATTGTGATAACATGCTAATTTTGATCACTGTCGCACAAGAGACGAATTTGAAAGAACGGGAGGTTGCCATACCAGCTCTCATGCAAGGTTTTTGAGGCTGCGCATTTGAAGCTGGAACGTTTTGCAGTGTTGTCGAATGTAGGTAGCTTGGGTGCGCTGCTTGGTTGTTGGTCTGTTCGCCGAGCTTGCTTAGCAGTAGACTGCAAACGTTTCAATCACCAATCAGGTGACATCGTCAGTGCAAGTTTAAGTGGGTGACTTCTCCTCTGCCTGTGATTATATTGCATCTAAACAGTATGCCAAACTCGGTGATTAGACCAACAACCAAGCTGGAACGTTTACCTGCGGCGCTTTGTTTGTGGCTTATGGTTGGTGGAGTAGCCACTTCAGTTTGCTCTGATGTGGAATTCATCATGCCAAACCAGACACAAGAAGGAGTTTTGTTAGTTCTCACAAAACTACTGGGAACGCAGGTTACATTGAATAACCGCCAATGGATACTGGATGGACATATTTTTTGGACCTCAAACTTGTGTAATAAGGTAAGTGTGGAGCAAGTTCAGAGTCCGTTTCATGCTGTCACTATGTCTATGGCTCGCTTAACCGCACTGCTGCGCGTTTGATGCACAAATACGGCGCACATGGCTGCACTGATGTAATCGAGCCGCTCAGGCACCCAGATAATCTGGCTCGTTTCCAGACTAACCCAACGAGCGGCTTCAAACTGCACTCTTTGCCTGTTTTGGCACATATGGTGGAGGCATCTTGCTTGTTGAACGGTCAGTTCAGACTGACTGTGGGATTGTGCCCAAAATCCTCGGGAGTTTTGTCGTCTTACGTGCGGCTGCCGCAACACAATATTGTAAGGAACTGAAAGAGTTGAAATGTAGACCAGCTTGGGTTGTTCAGTCTGACACCAAAAAGGCATTTCTAGTTGAAGGTCCCTCAAAACAATGTACTTAAAGACCCGGAATCGGTATAACCTCGTTTAGTGATTAGGAGCTGGCCTCAGAGAAGCTTCGCACGCTTATCAGGAACCTCGGGGTATTTGAGTTGTGCAAATAGTGACGGTATGGCATACCACAATTTCAAACGTCCGTCATGTTTAATTCGTGCATATTTCTAAATAAACTACCTACCTAATAATCCCTGGTAAACGCTGGCTGATTTTGTCTGAGATTTTCTAGCAAGGCCTCTTCGGACTTCACCCTCAATGACATAGACTTTGTTATTTAAGGAATGAGCCGTTTGCTACCCTGTTCGTTACAAATCAGTTATCAACTCAATAATTCAATCACATTCACTCCTACCTAAGTGTATGGTAGGCCTTCTCTGGTTCTTAAGGTTGGGGCTAGTGCGGATAAACTCCGTGTTGTCGTATTTCTGAAAACCACTGCTCCAAAGGCTTCAACTAAAACTCGTGTGTGAGACACTGATGGAACATCAGTGATCCAGTAATGGGCTGAGGATCACTGGATAAGTTTGACGTGATAAGCTATTCACTCACTGACATAACTAGGTTCACTGCCATAGGAAACTCTATGCAGTGGCAGAACCGGATTCATTCAGTCAGTCGCGTTACTGACTCAGTGGCTCAGTCATTGTGTCTACTCGTGGATATCAGCTAAGACATGGCATGCGCACCACTCAAAAATGACGTTTAGTACAATCCCCAATTCGCGTATCGGTTTGTCACACCATGAGATGAAGGCGTGCAAAAAATTCTCCGGCTCACCATACAACCAAGTGTCTATAATGTGGGCTTATTTTTCACTATTCCCCTGTCAGCTGATTAGCCTTCGAAGATGTGTGGTCGGCAGCCAAGGCTGTAACTTTTTGGCGAAACGTGCTTCGTGACCGTGGACAGTTGGTCTGTGATGAGGTCAGTATTATTACACATGTATCATTTCCGTTTAGCAAATGGCAGGGTATAACTTACCCGTGTTCTTCCAAGTGTATTAATGAGCGAAATTCAGCAGAAAGGCTTATCTAAAGGCGGATTAGTCGTATTCTTATTCTGTGACCGGCCATATATATAAAATCGGTTATAGACTTCACTCTTAGTGCAGATGTGCAGACGCACTTGTTCTTTGGCGTTGCTTGGATTGAACTGGAGCGTTTCTCCTTACAGTTTGAATATTCTAAAGTGAAGTGTATTACGTCTTGCAGTAAATGTGACCTGCACAGTTTTTATGCCTGCTCACCCAGTCTTTCTGATGAACTAAAATTAGGTGTAGTTCACAACTGTGTTATAGTAATCCAACCCTTTGATCATTTGTCCAAACAACCCCCTAGATGCAGAAATAAGCACTAGAAAACCGAGATAACAATATTGCGTAAACAATACTTATGGTTTCACTACCGTTGAAAATAAAAACCTTGATACATTTTTCACTGGAGGCATAAACGATTCTGGCGTAAGCACGTTTGAAAAATGTTTTTAAAAAGGCCTATGATCTATGTCTTTCCCGGCGATAACAGGTGTTCGCATTATCAGGCTGGAAACCGGTAATCATTTCAGTGTGCTCCAAGGGATGGCGGAATCTGGGTTACACATATGATTATGGTAACAACAGAGCTCACTCTAGTTTCCTGCATCAAGACAAACCGCTGTGGTAGGCCATTCAATGTCAGGATTCATTTTTATCAAAGTGCTTTTCTTTGGTTGACTAAACATGCGGAGGTTTTACGGGATAATTTCTAAACAAACTGAACGCCCAAACTAAAACTTGGAAAGTGAACACGTTGACTACCATCTGCTGATAGATGGTGCACATTTGTGGTCTTAACTGCAACTTTGAAAAGTGGTCAGTTTGAAAAACAACAAACACGTATCGAAGCGCAACACACTACTCATCAGCAGATCAAGGGAATTCAATCGAATCTTCTGTCAAAGCCAAATTCGTGTGCACAGACCACCATAAACAAGGGATTCAAGGGAATTCGACTGAATCTTCTGTCAAAGCCAAATTCGTGTGCAAATGAAACCAAATATCGAAAAAGCACCTTGGAAGACACAAAAAACTTAAGTCGTTTTTCAGAAGCAAGCTTAAGGTGAAGGAATATTTTTGAAAGGACTGATTAGAAATGTACTTACATACCTGGATATCCACAATAGCAGTTTTTTTTAAAAAAAGACTGACCGCAGCAATTTTATTGATCTTCACTGCAACCAACCACTTGAAAACCAAGTTCAGTATTATCCACACATCAAAGAACAAGGTATTTGGGTAACCGCACAAGATAAGCGGTTTTGTCTGATCATACCACAGTTACAAAAAACTCGACGCGAAAATTCTATCTTCAACCCATAAGCATCGGAAAATGGAGCTTTTATTCGGTTGGGAATTGAGTGGCCAATAAACTAGGGTGGATAATAACGGTGGTTTTCGTAGTGCACGTTAATAAAAAAATACGCTAAATAAGAAAATTTTAAAAAATCGTTTAGCTTTAGCACACATTCGATGCCTAGCTGCCATGGCAAACGAATGAGGCACGAGGGGGGCGGCCAAGCCCAAGCCTAGACAGGAGAAGTCTAGAGGAAGATGTCGGGTTCGAACCACGGACCTTCCAGTCAGTAAATCTGCGCTCCAACCACTGCGCCATCTCGCACGCACTAGGTTATCATGGTTTCAGAAATACGCATGTTATACGTATATATGTATATATATGTATTTAATATCAATTTTTTTCAAACAATCCGTAGTGAAATTAAGTGATAAATTCGTTTATACTTAGGAACTGTGATCCCTCGGTGGTATGCTTTTCTTCACGGATACTGCCGTTCTCCGATATCAAATTGATGCAGAAATTAAGTACAGTCCGGTAAATTTGAAATTCCGATCCTGCTTGTGACTGAAGAACTGGGAAGATTTTGTTGTTTCTAAAATATGTAACTGTTTAAAGGTGCCAAAAGTCAGGAAGTGTCGTGGTGCGACAACATCTACCCAAAACATAACGGACTTTCGCCAGGTACCTAACTGAATTTTGAGTGTGTTTTTGAATTGGAATTCCTCAACATCTGAAGGGCCTCTCAGTTTTCAAGCAAACTAGGAGTCTTCTGTTTTCAAAGTTCATATCTTGACTCCAGATATTTAGTGTGTTTAAGAACGGCCCGTGATAGTGAAAAGTTAAACATCTCAAAGTGGAAAAATAGGCATGTTTCAGACGCAGTCTCACAGGAGCTAAAGTAACTAATCCAAAAATTCTCACCATTTATTGTTAGGCTGTGGGAAGAAAACGGTTTATTACGTTAGCTACTCCTAACCGGTTGAATTCACCCCATTTGGAGCATATTTCAACGTGAATATATATGAAAAAACACGTTTGCCAACTTTTACTGTGATATTTATATACATGAATATGCACACACTGGAGTGCGTTTATACGAGCCTAAGCTATTGTGCCACGGGAGCGTGAGATAAGTTTAGGGGCTCTTCTCATGTCCAGTGAGCGCACTGAGGCAAGGAACCTCAGAATCCCAACTGCTCCCGGCCAGACTTAAACAATCTGGTACTATCTTAACCCTCATTCTATCCTAGGGTAGCATGGTACCTAGGCACCAAAAAGGTGTAACGGATGAACTTTGTGACCACCGAATTGGTTCCGATGAAATTAGTAGTAGGTGAATTGCAATAATCAGAAATTGGAGGCGCACAGAGAAGATTGTTTTAAACAACAAACTAAAACTAATCTCTTTTGTTGGGACAAATCTTCGCCTTGTAGATGCGAAATGCCATTCCGCTGGACATTGAAAATGACCTTTACTTGGTGCTATAAAAAGATTAGTTGTGCACATACCTCTCAGGCAAATTATGTAGTTGATTGCCGATCTTGGTTCAATTAACCTACTTGTTTTTGTTGTGCTAACGTCCTCCTGTCTGTCGGTTGCCAAACCAAAACACCTGCCTTTCACACGATCACGCATAGTCGAGTTTGGTGTGCGCGATGTTTAGTTCCGCTGGAATATAAACACATGCAGTTTGCTGTGCACACAAGGCACACTCTTCGATGTGATGAAAACAGACCAGTCTTGGAGGTTACACCGATTTGTCTTTGTAGACCGAATCCATCGTGTTCAGCGTGAAAACATCGCCCAAACTGTGCTGGGAACAACATATTGTTTTGCGGCGGACCGATACACCAGGTGGCTGGTGGGTTGTTTTACTACTACTCCAGAAACGTATGGTTCTATTGATTGTAATGTGAACTGAACCGCCATGCAAAAACCCCAACGAACAGTGAGGAATTGAAAATATTTGTTTACGTAATAGCAGCCAGAATGAGACCGAAATTCGGAGACGATCTAGAAAGCCTCAGCATTTCGGTTCATCGGATGCATGACAACGCCACAGTAGTCTTTTTGGTAGCATCGTTTTATATTGGGTAAAATATGCAAAAATGCTGTCTCGCTGACTGTTTTGCTGTTCAAAAAATATACATCATGGTTGGCTGAACGGATGCGCTATGCTCTTCTTTTTGGCGAGCGAACGTCACTACTAAAATACTGGTGTCTTTGAATGGTTCATTACACATTCTATGAAAACCTTGCAGCTTTAATCAGGACAGAAGCTGCTGTTAATCAATGATCTTGCGGTTAACACCCATTATCCCATTCTAACAATAAACATAGATTATGCTTTTAAAGGAAACCACACTCAGCTTATCTGTACCACTGATACAATCGATGCGTCAGTCTGCGATTTGCACCTCTAGATTAGAACTTGGTGGAAACTATTCCACCTGACCTATCGATTCCATCGTGACTCATTTTGGTTCCTTGAATTAACAAATGTCTTGAATGAAGAGAATCACCTAACTTCATCTTGAGTAAGAAAAGTATGGAAGAGGCCAGAAATTATTTCTTTGAAAGACAGCTCTGCAGGGAACCTTTGTGGGAATGCATCAAACCCTATCCTGAATCAATCAATATCCTTTTGAGGGCCTTATACTTCCCCTAGTTG